TACAAGGGTATAGTTGGTTTTGAAACTCATTACACTCAAATATAGCTACAAATTGCCTGCCTTAAGATGTGCTTGCCGTGATCGATTATACCCCCGTTTGCCTAAGACCAACTATTCAACAGTTCTGAAAACATCCCCTCATGCGGTACAATTTACTCGGCTTTTCCTAGAAAGTGCACATTTGAAATACTCGCAACTGTTTGGTTTACCAATGCAATAAAAGTCTCAGTATGAAACATGCAGCTCACTGAATGAATGCATTAGACTAAACATATGGTATCTTCAGGTGTACGTTGGGGTGCTTTACCAAGTTGGTTTTTTTCATTAGAATTAGACCTTGATTTAAAATCAAAGCAGGCTTGAAGCCCCTTTGCTTAACTCACTGTTGCACAACAAGCAGTAAATTGCTGATGTTTTAACTTGAACTACAAGGTAACAGGGGTCCCTAAGGCATGGATTCTCCTATGAAAATATCATCTTAATGGATAGTATCACATTTTAGTAGTTAGGATAGGCTGACTATAAGTAGCTTTAGCATTTTCATTCAAGTCTTTTTGATGATTGAAAAAAATAGCCGTTCAAAATATTCTGGAATGCTGTCATCTAACTATCGTACAAGTATTCACCTTCATTCAGCAACCTCATAGCTGCAGCATACACATCAAGCAGTCAGGGTCTTTAAGCTTTCTTTGATTGCAATTAAGGTTCATTTTAGCTTTTTCTTTTTCCTTTTTTTCTTTTTTTTAAGCCAGTGTGCCATCTTCTCAAATATGTCCATAAAGTTTGCTAGCCACTTTTAAAGAAAACGCATTTAAAGGACATTAAAAAAATAAGTGATCATGTAGCATTTTAAGTAATTTCTTCTGAAAACAGTTTGGCTTCTATAGATTGCTGATCTGTAGTAACTAACACACACATTTATTTTTCTTAAATCTATAGCTAAAAGCATCCCTCTTCATTTTTGTACTATCAGAGTACTGAAATGCAAAACCAAAACCAGTTCTGTGGCTTTTGTGGCCAGAACTATGGCAAACAAGTGTATCCAACTCGTTCCTTCAAAAAGTATAATCAAAACAGGGCTGTACTGGAGTGTTTTCTGCTGTCTATACTTTGCCCCCAAATTTATGTATTTTCTGTAAGCCCATACGGTATTTTAAGCCACAAAGAAGGAAGGAACCAGCCCTTTAGTTTAAGTGGGTAATGGGACAAGTGATGTTACCAACTTTCTTGATGATAACAGCTTTTAAGCTTTCAAGCATTCAATAAATCATAACAATGTACCTAATAGGTTCCTCCTGAGAATACAGGTACATCACGGAGAGCACCATCCCCCACAGTTCATCTCCATTCTGGGTCACCTACGTCACCTATGGGTTCTGGTAGTCCCGGGAGAGGCAGGGATATGTCCTCGAAAAAGAAAAAGGGGCTGCTTTCCAAAGGGAAGAAACTGCTGAAAAAGCTTGGTGCAGTGAAATGATTCATGTACTCCTGGACAACTTGTAAAGCTTCCAGTCTGTGTATTTTTATTTTAAACGTCAAAACTAGGGCTTTCATGACTATGCAGTACAACTTTACCAAACCTTTGCATTTTTAACTCTGACATCAATAGAATCATGCGAATTGCTTACTCAAAACAGCAAGAAAAAAGGAAGTGGATTTGTTATTGCAAATATTTTTTTCTTTAAAAAAAAAAAAATTTTGTGGGATTAAAACTAGAAGAACATGGTTTTATTTGAAGTCAACTCAACACCTGCAACTCCACTGGATAAATCTCAGCCTTTAGTCTCCTTTAACCACGAGTGGGGGGAAGAAAACTCTATTCATTGATTCCTGGTTCAGGGAGATCACCCCACCGTATCTAATCTTTATCATAAACGAAAATGGTCTTGAAACTCCTAGTTTAATCAGCCTTGATGTTTTGCCTTATTAATGCACAATGATTTGTACTGTCTAATAAATATACAGCGTATACTTCGTATGTACTGTGTATTCAACTGTCTTCATCTTCCCTAAAACATGGTAATTTAAGATCAAGTACTATGTTACCGACTCCATTCAATGTCTGATGTAGCTCCTGGGAGTTTGAAAGTGCTGCGAAAAATGCTTTCTTTTTGGTTTTGCCTTTTTTTTTTTTCCAAACCAAAACCCTTGTATTGATTTCTTTTGTCAACCTTTTCACGAAGCTGAAATCAGATACAGTGTAAGTTATTCAGAGATTCACCACCCAGTTTCAACCGTACAACCTCCAGTTTTGGAGTTCCTGGTTCACTGTTCTAAATTACCGGGGGGTGAAAAAAACCCCAAGAAAAAAAACCAACCCACCAAAATAACTCCGCAACAAAACCCCTTTACTCCAACTTTTTTTCCTGTGGAAAATAACTCCGCAACAAAACCCCTTTACTCCCCAACTTTTTTTCCTGTGGAGGTACAGGCCTAAGTTAAAAGGCATTTTCATATTGCTGATGTCAGATTCAAGATAAAGTGCATGTCTAAAGTAAAAAGTGAAAAAACCTGTGTTACATACACAAGCCGTAGCCAGTAAAAAGGCTGCAACGGGTGATAATCAAATATTAATTGCAATATTGGCATCTCAAGAAAAACAATCTTACACATTGATGGCAGTCATTGGCTGTTACTATTTTGTAATTCTTGTCCATTTGTAAATTGTTTTTACTGTTTATACATACTTTTCAGACTGCCTTTCTTTTTGTAATTTATGGAAGGTTTATAAATGAATGATCAAAGCTTCCCCATTGTGTCTTCAGATAACAATGTAAATTACTGTAAGATACCGTGTGCTAGATTATAACATTTAATTAAAGGAAATAACTGGCCTAAATTTGTGGTAAAGTACTGTGTGGGTGTGTGCATGTGTACAACTGTTGTGTATTATATTTTATATAAATAAATAATTTGATATTTTGTAGAGTGCAGTATGTTTCATGAATCTACTGTATCAGCTGCCTGATTCTTGTGTTAGCCCTCCCTCCCTCCCTCCCTCAAGGATTAGACACAAATGGCGAGATCCACGCCCAGGGAGCGACTGTTAAGCATGCGGTAATGGTGCAAGCTACACGTTCAAACACTGCACCCACGTGGAGAAGGAACAGTCTGCAGTGACCATTTCCTACCTTTCCGTAGCTGACGAAGGAAGCAGCTGCACGCGCTCCTTTTCTATCGACCTCAAATGACAGAAACCAGAGCAGAATGAATACCCCCGACAGGTATAAATAAGCAATAGGTAACCAGGAAGAAATACGAAGTACTAAGTAGTGAACAGGGAAAGCTACCACTGTGTGACATCAGAAGGACCAAAATATTTGCCAAAACCCCCTATGCCTCTCTTCTGCCACATGAAATTTGTAATGAAGCCTGGGAAAGAAAAAAACCTGAACTGAATACAAGTCATAGAGCTCCCTCGTTCTTCAGAACTGTTGACAGCTGCTGAGATTTTCCGTAGAAGAAAGACTCATCTAAACGCAAGACTCCAGGAGCTTTCCAGAGGTAAAGAATGGTTAAAGTTACTCCAGCATGTGTCACACAGTATGCCCAAAGCCCAGTCTTGAAGTACGTACGCAAGTACATCTAACACGATCAAACCAGCAAGGATTACAGCAACAACTTTATTTAAATCTCGCAAAGAAAAGGAACAAGGTTCACAACAAGTTAGTTAAAGAAAACCACCGCCAATCCCAGTAATTCCATATGCACTAGTTTGACTTTGTGCCTGGTAATGCAAAAATCTGAAATCAACTTCCATCAACACAACTGCTATTTGCTTTAGAAATGAAGCTGCTCCTGCTGAATAGTTACCAACTGAAGTCTTAGAAGCACGATACAAACCCAGGCCTAAGCGCTTCCTATTACTTGGAACTACACAACCGAAAAAAACCCATGAATAGTAACACTATCTACGTTTTTGCACACCAGTGCACTGATATTCTTCGATGGAAATTATTTTTCTCATTTAACAAGCATGCAGTTAAACAGTGTCAACCCAGACATTTAGTTCATTCCAGTTACGAATTTGCAGTTGTCTAAACCAACGGTTTACTCACACTGTGTAGTAAATTTGAAGTGACAAGACTAAGAAAAAGCACGTCCGTAGGATAGTCCATTGTGAGTCACACAGGCCCCATAACAGCATTCAAGCTTAGACAAAGCCACCACTTTTTGTGGAGAGAATACTGTAGCCTTAGATAATAAAGGCGTTCCTATAGCTGTGATAAGATACAGAAATAATTCTGCCGCTGACGCTCGTTCCTGAAGCTTTGGTATACACAGAACTTCCTCCTCAGCTATGTGAGTTTGAAAAAGTCCCGCTTCATTCCCTCTACTCCTAGGGAGACATGGGTGAGCACCACTCTCTCTCGTTGGTCTGCAAATCGCTTACAAGGGCAAGTATTACAAACCCTTCCACAGGTTTTGCAGCACTGTGCAATCTTAAAACAAAGCCTTGCTAACCAAGAATGGCCGATAGCCTCTTTTTAACATATGAAATAGTTTAGGAGACAAAATTTTGCCCTCATTTTAACAGCCAAGAAAAACAAGGGAGCAACAACTGCAGTTTGAAAATTAAAAGTGTAATGTGCTAACTGGAGAAGTTTGGGTTTTGATCCGCATAACCATATATAGCGTATGCTAAAAATAATCCTGTGTAAGACTTCCCGAAAACATAAAAATAAGAACTGATAATCTCTTGTGAAGAATCCCAGAAACACTTTAGTAAATAAGTATTAAAAAAAAAAAAATTACATAGTTTTTATAGCAAGCAGGGACCTAGTCAAAATGCAGACCTGCTATCTCAAGCTTCTTCCTGCTACAATGAAAATAAAGTTCCACAACTGCACATACTCATTCTCCCACGCACATGTCTCTTAAGGAAAAAAAACCAAACCAAAACCAACCAAAAAAACCCAACAAAAAACCACACAAACCCCCAGACAATTCTACATTCCCTAGAAAGGAACTACACTTTTTTTTTTGCTGGTAACTCGACTTCAAAGATAGTAAAGTCTGTCTGAAAGCAACAGGTTTGGTTCTCTGTGAACACTCTGACCAACAAGGAAGGCCAGTTTATGAGCATACTGGCAAGGAGCAGGTACTCTGATAACACCCTGCGGAAGGAAGAAAAAAAAAAAGAGGAATTATTTTCAAGTCATTTAAATAAGCGTGCATTCACTGTAACAAGGAGAGTCCTGGAATTCAGAAGTTTGGATACATGTAAAATTTTATATTCCCTGTAGTTTATGCAGATTTGTGAAAACAACATTACATACCCTGAACACATCAACCCCCCCCCCTACTGATGCTGGATTTCACAGCACCAAGGTGGGACGTGGGTAAGTCATGTGCAGTATTTATGGTTACTAAACTGACAAATCTAATGCACAGCTCAGGCGTGAGCTGCCTGTGTGCTGGTCTTGGTATGCAATGGAAGATGCCTCAAAGGAAATGGAGGAACACGGTTCCATCTCCACACAAAGAAGTAAGTATTTCTGCAGGTAAGAAATAATCATTTCAGTTTTGCTTTTGACATAGAATTTGGGAACAATACTCAAAACAAGTATTTTCTAGTGAGAATAAAGATTAATCTTCAGACTTCAGAGAGATCACATAACTGTAAAATGTCTAGTTCTCAGACCACCACTCTAGGTCAAGAGGCATACTCGCAGGCTTTTTGGATCTGCATGGGTGTTTTAAGGATATCTTTTTCTACCTTCTTGTGGGTTGTTACTGCACAGAGATGCACAATCTTAGAAGAAAAATATTATCATTTCCCAGAGGAAATACTTACCGACCAGTTGTAGTACATGTGGCAAAGTTTGTAGGTTAAACGTTGTACGTGATCTGGTTTCAGTTTGCTAGTGTCATAAATCACGTTATAATGAGTGGGTGCAACACAACCGTTTCTCACTGCCTGACTCACGATAAAGAAATCGTACCTGTAACAGTGAAAACAAAACCCAGGAAGTCTGATACAGAAAGGGCTGCTTTTCTTCGAAAAATACAAATCCCCACAAATTTGTCTCACTTATTTTCTTCAAGTCACTTTATGCATATTGAGTAAACCCCAAAAGCATGCCTATGCTTTGGTCACAAAATAATCCGTTTCTGAAAGGCCAGGAGATCTGGAAGAATGTAAATATTCTTATTATATGGAACAAGTCTTAAGACCATGGAGATCTCATACACAGTTTTCCTCCTGATAACCGCCCTGCACACGTACTTAGCTTACGCTCCTCATTTACCCTACCACCCCGAGCCACATGTGGATGTTTGTCACCTACCGCAACACTTGGAACACCTGCAGCGAGTTGGCAAAATACAAAAAAAGGCAGGCAAAACTACCCGTCAGAACTGTGCACTGCCACAGAAGACTGCACTGTTCCCTACGCGCGCCACTGGACATGAGGAAAAATTTCTTTACCAAAAGAGTGGTTAAACATTGGAACAGGCTGCCCAGGGAAGTGGTTGAGTCACCACCCCGGAAGTATTTAAAAGACGAGTAGATGAGGCGCTTAGGGACATGGTTTAGTGGGCATGGGGGTGTTGGGTCAACGGTTGGACTCGATGATCTTGGAGGTCTTTTCCAACCTCAATGATTCTATGATTCCAGCGTCCCTGGACCAAAGCCAAACCTTTCATCATGTACTGAACAAGCTTTGCGTTTCCCACACGCCTCACCCGAGTGTCCTGGAGTGTGACTTGCGAAAACGTTCAATACTAACAGCAAGCAAGTCAAGTCAATGAGATCCGTGTACATGTTTTACCTACACACATAACTGCACAATTCCGACTCGCCTTCCCAACCACCGAAGAGTACTTCCAACACTTGCTCATAAAATGCACCCTTACAAAGTAATAAAATTTATGCGCAATGTCAAAACTACAGCCAGACAGAATTTAATTGCAGTTAAGGACAGTTGGGTGATCCTATCAATAGGCACTCATTCGGTGCTAAACCTTTAAAAAAATCAAAAAAGGAAACACCAAAAAGTGAAACACACAACACTTAAAGCATATACAATCCTCTGATGTATACAAATACTACATATTGGAAACCATTAAATACTGGCAGAATGAATTCATAAAATTTAAGCTTCTCTGCTTCTTTCATCTACACATTCACTATGATCTTTTCAAAAGGACAGAAGTGTGGACAGTATTCTTCTACTTGATCCCGCAGTCAATTTAATATCGGATCTATTTCCTTTATTATCAGGCTGCCAGCAAACAGAAGAAATATGACTTCTATACTAACTTACCATTCTGGCCTGGTAACCTCCACATCAACAACAGTACCAGGGGGTGGGTTTTTAAGTGCTCCACCAGACTGTGCGAAGAATCTGGTATTCACTCGTTTCTTCACAACTATCACAGTAAGTCTTGGACTAAAATAAATGAAAATAAAAGAAAAAAAACAAAAACCATCCTGAAAAAATGCACTGAGAGTATTTCAGGAGCAGATTCTCTAGAGCTTCAAATTAAAAGCAATTTCGTTCATAACTTTAGATTTTTAGTTTCAGGTGCAGCTTTGCTACTATTTCTCACCAATCCAGCTTATATTTAGCTTCATAGGGAGACAGAAGACAGACCAAAAAGGGATCTTCTAACACAGATCTGATTTCTACTATCTCTCTACCTCATCTTTTCATCTAGAAAACACTGTGTTTTAACAGTATTTTTGGTAAAGAGCAAGCCATTAACAGAAGCTAAACAGAAGTAGTAAGCACTTCGGTTCTTACTATCTATAACTTGTTTTGTGCTCCGCTTGCCTGCGGTGTCAGGAAATGTTTTCATTTTTCAGAGCAGATTAAGAAACCAAGTCACTGTAGTTGGTAAGTTTTCAAGCAGAGTGTTGAAAACTGCAGAACGTAAGTGACTGAAGAATAGCTAGTCCTTTCAGAAGTGGAAAGGAAAAAAATGGACCTACTGGACACATGTGATAGTAATCAGGCTATGATCAACCAGTTGAAAAAAGTATTAATTAGGCATCAAGAATGCCTAAAGAGTATATGCGCATGTGCGTATACGCGTGTATTGACTACTCATGCGGTGCGTGCACTAAAGACTTTTCCTACTATATTACAAGTTAGGTATCTCAAATCACATAAACAATCATCAGAAAAGCAGTTATCTGAGCTCAAGTAAAAATAAATAAGGATGAAAAGATGACACAATCTTCATCTGTAACCACTTTTTATATCCCACTGTGTATTTCTCTTACAGTATAAAAAAGGGGGTTGCTGGAAACAGACTTACTTGTAGTCTTTACCAACACTCTTCAAGCAATCCAAAAATTGAGGCACTTCATAATTAACCAAAGTATTCAGCTGCCCATCTCCTACACCATCACGATACACAATAATACGAGAGGGCAAATATTTATTCCACTTGAACCAGTCTCTTAGAGCAGCTTAAAAACACCAAAAAATAAAAAGAGTAAAAGCTGTTAGCTATAATGACAATTCATTCCAAAACAAAAATGGATTTTTATTACTGGAAAAACAGCAGTAAGTTTTGAAACCTGAGGTCCTCAATCTTTCAGTAACCTGAAACGGGTATGCATCATGACACACAAATGTTACCTGCAAGAATAATTCTGGTCTACCTGTGTACTGACACAAAAAGAACGAACCTAAGGAGATTATCTACTCCGCTGGCCTCTCTCACAGCAAGGAGCTGTCATTCTTTAAATCCGTCTCCTTTAAAACATTCTTTGAGGCGCATTGATAAGAAGTATTTATTGTTAAGAAATATGGGAATCAATGAAAGAATGTACACAAAATGCTATTAATTTTCAGCAATATTTACAACCATATTTTTAATCTGTTTTTATCTAAGTGCAAGTTGGTAACACCTCCCCTCAAGGCAGCCGAGGAAGTGTTTTGAGGAAGCTAAACTATCATTCCTTAGATCTGGCTCAACAAGAGGAGAAAGCCTTCCCTTACTTTGCAAGCAGGCTTTGAGCCCATCCACCAGTTCTTGCCCACGACTTTGAACAGCACAGCGGGAGAACCACCTGGAAGAACAAAATAAAAGATGACCTTCAAGGCATTTCCCAGGCTTACCTCCACGAAGTTATTTTTTAAATGGCTATGACCTCTTAGTCTTTATGGCTATTGTGGGTCAAGGCAGTCAAGCAAGCGTTAGTGTACCACGAGAGTGTTTCCCTCGCAAAGCCCCTGTGGTAGACAAATACCTTACCACCATGTGCAATTCCTCTCAATCAAAAAACTTTCACACAAGTCCACTCTAAAGGGAGAAGAGCCTGTCATCCTGATGCCCTCTAGTCATCCCAGCCCCTGCCCCGCCATTTGCCCCCTCTCCCAAGCATTGTGGAAGAAGAACAAGGCTATTCCTCAAGGGATGCCGTGGAAAAAATAATTCACAATATATAGTTCTTATTAACAACGTACAGTAAATCAGTTTGGACACTTTCGTGATGGCCCACCGTATTCAAGCTACTTTTCAGTTAAGGGAAAGATCCTTTCCCCCCCCCTTTGGCATTCAAATCTTACCGTGTCATTGTTTGATTCAGGCTAGCGACAAATCCTGCAATTGACTGCTTTCCAGATAAAGTGTCATGGTAACAATCAATTCCCACAACCATCACCTGTTTCAGCTTAAAAGGAATCAATACAGAACATGTATTAGTACGTGAAGAGATGCCAAAGCACCTATCATCTCTGTCCTGCAGTGTAACAAGATCATGACATAGGCTGTACGGTTTCAGGACACTTAAGTAAACCATGGGCACTGAATTCTTGAATTAAATGTCTCCTTATGTCATATTTAACTTCATGCCTCTTCTCACAGACACAAAACAAACTACATAAGGAATACTCAATTTTCTTTTTGGGAGAAAAAGTCTTGCTTTTTAAATAAGGCTCAATAAAGAAAACCGTTACCATTTTAAAAAAATTACTTACTGGGATCTCAACACTCCAAAGCTCTCCACCCATTTTACAGTTCATTTGTAAGGCAATTTTTGTTGCTATGGCCATAGCAGTCTGAGGCTTGCTTAAACTGCGAGCAATCACACACTGACTTGGAATGGGACAATCGGTACATAAGTATTTCTTGATAGCATCATACTTATCCTTTCGGGAACTAGACAAAACACAAACTGCCTTTAAAGAAAAAAAAAAGTTTTTAAGCAGCTGCATTCTCAGATTTGTGTAACAGTTGTAGTTCTTTAGGAAAAGCTTCTTACGCTCAAGAGAAATATTCAAGTGTTCACAGTGAAAGAAATACCTGGAAAGTTTCAGTGTCTATACTTCAGAACCAAGTACAAAGGCTCTTTTCCAGAAGGATACTCATAGTCTAGGGTTTGAACAGGAGTACGAGTAGGCATGTAGTAGATACTCAGGAGCCAAAAGTTTTATTTCTGAGAATGAATCCCACTAGTCTTAAAACACCAATTACAGAGATTAACATGATTTTAAATTATGGATTCAAATACATACTATGTTTGTGTCAGGGGTAATACTCTGCTGTAAAACCCTTAAATAAGCTTCTGTTCTATCATCTACTTCGATCCTGAAAAGGAAGAGAAAAAATGCTTACAGAAAAAACAACTAACAGCTATTGAAACTTCAGCAAAAACATAAATGCTCATTATGCATCAGTACTGTATGAAGTGTCACATTTATAGCTATTAATAAATGTACAGTATTCACACATTTTGAAGATTAAGAGGAATCATCCCCAACTTAGGCTTCCAAGAGCAATGAAATTCAAAGTGAAAGCAAGCACAGGTACTCAAAGGAAGGTATTTGCAGTGAGAACAAATCGGAATACGTCCAAAGTCAGCAAGAAAACATACATTCCTTCTTGTATTACATATAGCTCTACTTGAGAAGGTTTTGCTCAATGACTGTATGTCTCATACTGTTCGGTTTTGGCATGCTTTAACCCCCAGTGAAATCTCTCACAAATAAAAGTATGAGTAAGAAAATCAGTCACTAGAGAAAACTGAACAATTTGCATACTGAAAGCAACTTTGTTTTACTAAAAATCTCACAGAAGTCGGTAGTGTGACATACTATACTATCTTCTCATTTAACAGCCTAAGCATGCTAACAGATATACCTTAATACGTATAAAATGACTTTTCCATCAGCTTTCTAAAGGCACTTACATGGTTGCCTTGTTCATTCTGATTCCCATAGATGGTGTGACTTTAAACAGATTTTGAAGTAACGTATTAGCAATATCATAGTTGCGCCGTGTGTATATTAATAACCAGTTGTCCAGAGGCTTTGCACAGATTAAGGGAGCTCCCCTAGTTTCCTTTGACCAATCAGCAAACTGAGGATTGTAATCAAACTGTAAATAAGAGATGTGAGAGAACGAAAATCAACACCCTTCCAAACAACCTATACCACAACAACTTCCCGATACGCTCACGAACAGACTGTAACGCTTCTGCCTAGAACAAATGACTTGATTTTTTTACTGCTGTTGTCACTAATTTAAAATAAGCTTTATCTAGCCCTTTCAAGAAATCCTACACTCTTCAAATGTTTCATTCATAATTATGCAAACATACTTATGATTTTTAGCCCAGGTAACTTATTACTATTTGCTGCACAGTTTTTGTGCTACAAAGACATAGCTGCTCATGTATTGACTTATTTTTCTCCCATTTTTCTTTTTAATAAGGTAACTGCTTGAGAAAAAGACAAGTATTACTATAAAGCAGACATCAGATCTTTTCAATAACAAGAAAAGCTTTACCAAATACAGTATCTTGATCTGTATAGCTGTGTAAAATGCCCTTTTCCATCTAGCATCCATTCAAAACAAACAAAAAGACCTCTACTACAGAGCAAATATATAATGTTTTATGGCCATCTATGACATATTTGAAATCTAAGTTATTCATACTGAAGAGTCACCCCACCTTTGAGTAAACAGACACTGTATGTGTTCTGTCTACTGAACTGAAATAATTAGTGGCTTTTCATTTGAAAGCCTTGGTATTTTAATATATGGAAACTAGTTAGAAACATCTCTAGTCTCCTAGTTTGTGTATCTGAAATGACTTTGTTTAGACAGAGGGACTGTTTTGCAAGGAAGACACTATTGTAATGCAAGCCAGAAAAATCTTCAGGTGTTTCTAAACAGAACTTGTAAACAATTTAAGAAGTTTGCGAGTCTCCTGTTTGGACAAAGACTTGCATATAACTTTTTCACTCATAATCCTTCATTTATAAACCAACAAGTAGTATTTCCTTCCTTAAGAACATGCTTCATCAGCAAGAGATCCAGAAGATTTTAGAAGTTGTTTTATTTAACACATTTCCTGATTGAAGGATCTTTTCTCCTTGAACAACTCTTCCCGTAAAGGATAATAAATTAGAATCAAAGCTTAAACCCCAGTCTCGGAGTTCCTTCTGAACATTGTCATCTCTGTTTAAAAACAAGATTTAAATTAAAACAAAGACATTTATTCTTGCTGACACTTTTCTTTTTTAAAACCAGTAAGATTTCCAAAGTTTGTTGCAAAAAAGAAGTTTATCATACGAATGTTTCATGACAAAGAGGTACAGAAGATATTAAGGTAGCATACTTTCGGATGTAGTCAATAAGTCTTCCAATTTCACGTTGCCTTTGCTCAGGTGGCAGTCGTGTATGAACAGCCAAGTCTTTCATCATATTAAAATCATTACGCATCTTCTCAGTTAATCCTGTTAACGGCAAAATCTTCTTCTGAGTAAAAGTTAGACTAAGGACTAAGAAAAGTAAACTTGCAAGTCGTGCAGATTAACTATGCATGTACTGCAGACACATAAAGTGGTGTCAGTAGTAATCAAGGTTTTCAGTTGCTCCCTGCGCATACATTCCTATCTGCATAGAAAAAAAAATTCTGGATTTTTGCACTTGAGAGGAAACCACACGAGACATGCAGCTCTTTATTTACATTTCCAAAGCAAAACAAAACAGTGCTGAGATGGACAGGTACTGCTAGTGCAAAGTGGGTATCAGAGGAAAATACATGTTTATGTATCTTACAAAATTATCAATTTATAGTAAATTTCTCTTTTTCAACAAAAAGTTCTACCACCAAAAAACTCTACAAGTTATCAGTGGGCCAGTGTTGAACACCGTACGTAAAGACTATGTAACATCCAAACCCCTCAAACTTTTCAGCCTCATTTAATTATCGAATCTTTTAGCTACAAAACTTGTTTCTAAACTCACATTTATACAAATAAAACATTTCTACTTAACTTGGCAAGAGGCTGCTGTCAAAATACCGGTTTCAGTAGGCATTACGGTTTGCAGATGCTTTGATATGAAAAAATGCTACAGTACCTGTTAGGAAGCACAGCTCTGGAATTAGAACCACAGGTCCTGGCATCATGGTTCCTCTCTTTCTCCTCGACTGACTGATCAAGACAGGCTGGTTCAAGTCAGTAATTTCTTGATTATATTGCTGTATTAGAAATATATACTGTATGTTAGTTTATTCATAACAAACACTCAGTTTTCTTAATAATAATGCTCACTTTAGAAAATTAGTATTTTTCCTAAAACAAACAAAACCAAAACAAAAGCAACCAGCAACCTTTCTCAAGTAGCACACCTAACCTGTGTTAGAGAAACTGGTTTTGTCAGAAAAGGCTAAACAGGGAAGCACTATTCTCTCTATTGGTGCCATCAAATTATTGACTGGTAAGAGACAACAGAAACAATGCTTCTGCCTTGCTCAAGGCAGTTACACCCAGAGTATCTAACTCCAGATTAGGATGCTCATTCCAGTTCAGCAATCGAAAGGTTCCTACCCTATAAGAGCAATTTAATTCGAGACATCACAAGAATCAAACAAGATTCTAAGTGAAGTTTCTGAAATTCAACCCTCCCGCAACATTTCCTTGCATCTGGCATGAGTTGGTCTGTCTAGCAGTCACTAATTTAGTTTAGAAAAAAACCCAAAACACCACAAAAAGGGGACACAAGCTGACAGTCAACAAACAAACTTCATAGTTCAACTTTTTCTTAAAGAGAACCACACCTCAGAAACCATCCAAAGGATAGCATTTAAAAACAAAATAGTGAGATCACATCAGAGGCAAGAAGGCCTTGACAAATGATTAGAAGATTTATAATCATTTATAAACTCCATCCTGAACTAGAACGGATAATATAAATTTTGCTTCTAGTTCATTAAGTCCCATCCTGTTTTACAGTTGAAACTGATGTGCAGAAAGATTTCACAATTACAGTGGTAGGCCTCAATGGCAGAGAAGGTTAAGCTATGAAAGACATACATAAACTTTGTTTCAAAGAACCAAAAGTATCAAACAGTAATTTCTCTTAAGATGACTGTCCATATATTCTACCTCCAGTAAATGACCAGCAAAACTTGCCAAGGGTACACTCTGCCCCATCATCCAGATCATTAATGAAGACGTTAAACGGGACTGGACCCAGTATTGATCCCTGGGGTACACCGCTAGTTACTGGACTCCAACTACACATCGTGCCACCAATCACCACCCTCTGGGCCTGGCCATTCGGCCAGCTTTCAATCCACTTCATTGTCTGCTCATTCAGCCCACACTTCATCAGCTTCTCCACGAGAACCTTATGGGAAACAGTGTCAAAAGCCTTACTGAAGTCCAGGTAAACAATATCCACTGCTCTCCCCTCATCTACCAAGCCAGTCAATTTAATCATAGAAGTTTATTAGGTTGGTCAAGCATGATTTCCCCTTCGTGAAGCCATGCTGACTATTCCTGATGAATTCCTTGTCATTCACATGCCTGGAAACGGTTTCCAAGATTAGCTGCTCCACCACCTTCCCAGGGATCAATGTGAGGCTGACCAGCCTGTAGTTCCTGGTGTCATCCTCCTCAAACTTCTCCAAGATAAGGAGCAACATTTGATTTCCTCCAGTCCTCGGGCACTTTTCCCTATCGCCACCATCATTCAAAGATTATCGACAGTGGCCTCACAATGACACGAGCCAGCTGCCTCAGGTACTTGTAGGTGCAACCCATCAGCGCCCATGGACTAAGGTATGCCTACTTTGCTGAAGTATTCCCTGACCTGATTTTCTTCCACCAACGGTATGCCTTCCTTGCTCCAGACTTTTCCCTGGTCTCTGGGCCTGGGAATCCTGAATGGCAGTCTTGCTAGTAAAGACTGAGGTGAAGGCGGCATTCAGTACCTCATCTTTTTCCACATCCTGTGTCGCCAGGGGCCCTGCCTCATTCATAGCAGCGGGGTCACATTTTCCCTAGTCTTCCTTTTGTTGCTTATATACTTACAGAAGTCCTTCCTGTTGCCTTTAACATTCCTGGCCAGATTCAATTCCAGCTGGGCTTTGGCTTTCCTAACCTCATTCCTGCATGCTGGGACAATGCCTCTGTATTCCTCCCAGATTACCTGTCCCTGCTTCCACCCTCTGTATGCTTCCTTTCTGAGTTTTCCCAGGAGCTCCTGGTTCATCCATACAGGCCTCCTGGCATTTTTGCCTGACCGACTACTCATTGGGATGGACTACTCATGCCGAATCATGCTGCGTAAGTTATTTACTGCTCTCAGATTACATAGTATCCATTAAAAATAAAATTCCATTAAAGAAAATTATGAATTACAAATGCATGCATCATAAGTAAACCTCTAACAATGCTCTAACGTTTCAAGTTAAAGCATATTGCATACACTGACAGTTAAGTTTCCATACCCTTTTGTAGTAGTCCACGTAGCTGATCTCAGAACCATCGGCTTTTCTAAAGGTACACTGTGGATTGGCATCCCAGTCAATGTCATCAACTCTGTATGTTCTGTTATTGTACCTAAATAAACAATGTCATCAGGTTTTTTTTAAATCTTAACTCAAATAGAAAAGAAATAGAACTGCGGGATGAAAAAGTTAATAGCAGTACTCATGTAAGTTGAAAGTTTTGCTCCTATCAGCAGCAGTAACTTCAAGTTTTCGATTGTAATAGGCTATCAATTCTACTAAAAGCTAAATTGTAATAAAACCAAATGAAAACAGAACTAGTCCAGTATGTACTTCCTGCTTTTGTAAATGCTATCACCTCGATCAGTTTGCTAGCTTGACAACGACAGCATTTTCATTCTTTCTGATGCTTCATTGTATACTTCAGGACATGGAACATCCAAAAAATAAACAGATCTCTAAGATTACAAGAGTCCGAAGAGACTTACTTTGTAAGGACAATTAAACCTATCAGCTCTTTAGCACAGGCATCTCTAAATCTTTGCTCTTCAACCTGGTAATACAGACTGTACATAAAATCCAACACTGTTTCACTGCGAAGAACCTTATGGCTCACATCTGTACATAACATAATGCTTTCCTCATACTGGAGGATAGAACTTGTGAAGCCCGGCCAAACCATCAACCTGTCAAAAGAGAACATACAGAATCTTAATGTGCTTTAAAACATCTCTATTCTCACCCCTTGAGTTACTTCTGTCCACTTTCCCAGACACTAGAAAGCAGTCAAGACACAAAGAAACCCCTATCCAAATATAAACAAGCTCCTGAAAGTTAACAAAACGAAAAGTATTTTACATGCAGGTATCTTTAGTTAACCTAAGATAAAAGAAGATTAACTGAATGATGTAGCAATATAACTGAAGTGAAAGAAAGGATGCCTCAAAACCTAAGACATCCATTTCATGCTATTAGTCTTAAATATCTTACATACAAAGTGTATGGGTATACAGGACACTTTAAAGAGAAAAAGACCAACAGTTTATCTAGTAGACCACTGTCCAGTTTCTTCCACCAACCAGGTGATGCAGGCTAGGTTAATGGCAAGGAGTACACCACAGCCATATGATGGGGCCCCAGTCAAACTCAAGCTTACTAACTTGTACAATAGGCCTAGGGCTAGCCAGAAGCATCAGTCACATTGTAGGGGATCCTGGCACTGAACGGGAACGAGACGTGACAGCTAGCAATAGGTGAGTTCCAGAACTACCCATCCAGCAGGCTATGGCCAGATATGAATTTACATGGCAGATTAAATGGCCTTCAGAATGAAGGCTGGACACTCCCGAGCTTTAGAATTAAAGTATTCAGAGATCTCAGCCTTACAGACATTTAAGCAAGGTTTCTGACATTGGAGTAAAACATGATAGCAGAACACACACTGGTAACGAGTAATGAGATCTTACACATAGAAGAAACTACGTTAGGAGAATGAGGTCTCTCGCTTCCCAGGAATACCAGTTTTTAAGTCCATGGTTTTATTACAAGATAAACCACCAGAGCAGTATCAAAATATCATCCTTTCTCCCTGCATCCCTCCTAAACCCAAGTATCTTTTTTGCCAAACCTGTGATTAGGGATGCTGATTGGGTCACTGGGATTGTAATAATTACGTCCAATCTGCTGCAAATTCAACATCTTCAAAAGCCTAGAAGTTGAAATACGGATGTCATTTACCATTATTATTCAGTTTATCAAACTATGCATGGTCCCATCCCTCTGCACAACTGCATTTTTTGTTCATCTGACTATATAAAACAGTCACAAATGTGAACTTTTCATTAAGCTCAATTTAGAAAGGCCATGAACACTTATTAATGACAGTTAATCAGTTGAGAGTAAGTTAGCATACAAACCAACCCTTCACCAACCAGTTGAAGGTAGCAGTCTAAACTAGCTGCAGTTCAGATGAACCAGGTAGTCCAGGTACCAAGTTTAAGTGGAAAGACTACAGCAAAAAAAGTAATTTGCCAGTTCAAGGTCCTGCACTACTATTTGCTTTAAGAGGCAAATCCACAGACACAAAAGGAGGGCAGAGATAGGACTAACGGCCCGTACAACAGCTAGCACTCCAGCATGAATCTGCTTGCTCAGGGAAAAGGTATGAACTCATTTCACACTAACATGTGCCAGAAACATGCATGTAACTGCACATTAAAATGTTGCCAGATGTGGTTGGCCAAATAGTAACGGTAGCTACAAAAGCTTAAAAATTTACATTTGTAATATTGATTTGTAGTCCATTCTTTGGGCAGGAAAAACTTAAGTCATATTTTTAGAATGACTTCTTATAAAGATATAACTTGGACCGCAAACCTTCTAAAAATGATGTTGTAAAATTGCAGACATGTAGGTGAAGTAGGTGGCAACTCATTAGTCAACGTGATTGTTATCTTCACATCCTCTCCATTTCGAGTCCTACTGAACACTTCAGTAACCTGAGAAAGTGAAGTTAGAAGCAAACAGGGCTATATCTGGACTTTGCTCCATTAATACCGAATTGGACTTGCACATTAAGTACTAAGTAATAATCCAAGACTTAGCTGAAACAGGAATTTGATTTTCTACTATGACTGTAAACTACAACTGAAAATGCTTCATTCATTTGGGTGAAGACAACTAATAGAGTAGAATGGAGGCTATCCCCAAAGCAGCTGAATTCAAGATGAAGACAGGGAGATCACTTACCAATTACCATTGTGGGAAAAAGACTCAACCTGAGGAAATAAACTTAATATATTGCCAATTTATATTTAATTACTAATTCAGGTACTGGGAGGCAAAAAGACAAACATTAAAACACGTAGTAAAAACATCTTCCCCCTCTCCCTTTTCCAGGCTCAACTCCACTCCGGACTCCTCTGCCCCCCTCTGTTAACACCACTGGTTACACTCAGTCCTTTCAGTGAGGCAATGAGTGGCACAAGGGCTGGAGGCCGGGGGGGAGGCAGGGGTTACCATCAGTACACGGCATTTTCCATCTGTCGCTCCTCTCTTCTCAGATTTTTCTTCTGCTCTGGCATTTTTTCCCCCTTTTTAAATGCACAGAGGTGCCATCAGCTTTGCTGATGGGCTCAGCTTTGGTCTGTGTTGAGTCCATTGTGAAGCCAGCTGGAAATGGCTGTGTACAGCACAGGGCAGCCCCTAACCTCTTCCCATAGGGGCCACCCCAGATCCCCCCAGCTACCAAAACCTTGCCGCATACACCCAATACGTCCACCCTTTCAATTATGTTGAGAGTTAAAATACAAAAGTTATGAAAAGATCGAAGCAGAAAGAAAACTAAAGGAAAAATACTGTCTGTACTATCCACTTCCGTGCAGAGGATTATTCTAACCTGAAGAACCTAAGCATTAGAACCAGAAGTTTATTAACAAATTGCTCTACAAAAGCAAATTAGCTTATATTATATTCAGTCCAACTAAATGTTGCTCATGGGACATCAATTCTCTTAACTTCACCCAGACCAGTAAGAAACAAGAAGCATCACAAAATGCAAATCAAAATAAATAAAAGAAATAGCATTCTCATATCACACCTTGTTTCCTAGTTTTTTTGGCAAGAATAATATTGATCCATCAAATGCATGTGTCTTTCCAATTAGCTGTTCATGCTGAAAGAGCAAAGCTGATCGAAGCCGGCGTGCTTCCATCTCAGGACTATAGCCAACATGGTACTGATATAAAGCCCACTGGGGTCGAGACGTCAAACGGAAGTAATTTGTAGTTAATTTTATCATAATACCTGAAGAACCTAAAATGAGAGGCAAACATCTTAGTAGTTGCAAAATTTTACCAATTTATACTAATTCAACAGCTTTGAGAAATTTTAAAAAACTAAGGCATTCAGACGAAGATTAGTGGTCAGTTGTGTTGTGTTCTGCAACTGTTGTAGCTCAGTAAGCTATAGGAGACGCTCGCATAGGCACAGTGTTATCAGACACTCACTCGCTTATTAGAGCTTTTTGTAATTCCTTCAGTTGTCAGGAAAACTCTCACATCAAATAAGGTAAGCATTTAGATCAGTAACCTGTCTCCCAAAGGGTTAGTACCAGGTACTAGAGAGATGGATTTCCACCAAAACATAAACTTCCTTTGTGGACAAATTAATCTTTCTTTACAGCAATCATAAACATAGAACAAAAACTATCAGAATATCAAGCACTAGAGATATCCACATTCCCATTCATATGTGCCAAGATGACATTTCTTTCGGTATTTCAAGATTTTTCAAACAAACAAACAAGCAAACAAACAAAAAACCCACAACAGTAAGAACTAGCTCCAGATCACTTACTTATCTAAAGTATTTCTTCCCATTTTTTCATGTCTCATTTCAATTTCTTTTAGACCTAAAGACACGAGTCTAATACAAAAAATACATTGCAGACAATTATGGATCCTCCATTTTAATTTGGTTTTCATCATCCATTTTTTCCTATCTGAAATACAACACCCCAGAAGAAAACAAAAATATCCTGCCACATACAAAGCATGTATATTATACTAGAAAACTGTACAGAGCTATAAAGAGAAAACAAAAGGCCAGCAATAGAGCTGTGTACTAAGTACAGCGATCCATGATCTATCATCAGCATAGCTCTAGATAGAAAATTTAGGTAAGAAAGAAAATAACTGTTTCTGGCCCAAAGTGACTTGAGCAGAACTAAGCCCTACCATTCCTGGGCCCGTGGCATGCTCCAGTTATCATTCAATTAAGCAAAAGCGGACTACAGTTGCTGTTATATTGTTGTGATGTCTCAGAGAGTCACTTCCAACACAAAACTATTATCAGCACAGAACCTGCACTGTTGAACATTAAAACGACTGCATTCTAGCAAGAAGGCAGGACCATCGTGACAGCCTGCTTTTACTTCTTTTCATATGCATGATTTCATCTCAAGGAAAGCAGCATATGACCTTTTACTCAAACTAAAAAGTTGCTTCAGAAGAGGTCTCAAATTCCACATTTATTAGGAGATCTTTACAAATTTGGTTAGGTCAATGTGTTACAAACCAGAACTTCTAGAAGCAAACCCCCAGAGTCCTGAAGAGTCCTGCTTGAAGAAGTGGACATCAGGAACATACAAGGCTCATCACTTATGTCTAAACAGTTGCAGTTTAAAATGCTACACAACTTCTGTCTGAAGCACTTTGCCATCAGACATGTCATCTTACTGTTCCTCTTCAGATATGGGGAGCAACTTGTATCTTTTTCTAGTCCACGATGAAGATTTTTTTTATTTGGCTCTCTAGGGGATAGTAAAAGCAGAAACAAAGCAAGACTATTTTTCATTTCAACTTGCTTATATGTCTATAGTCTGATCTGAACATACCAGTTTTTGATTCTTGAACATGTTCTATGGCTTGCCGAGTATTTACCCCAAGGTCATGGAAATCTCTACGACGTCCACCCCTATCTGCTAAAGACAGTTCCTGAAATCCTGCCGAAATCTGTAATCCTATTGTTTTGAAATTTGAGGAAGAGGAAGAATTACAATCAGGTTTTATATACAAATAAGAATTAAATACAATTCAATTTTGAAAGTCAGATATATATACAAAATTAAGAGAAATCATTAAATGTTAAGTTTCAGCTTTTGCTATGTAGTAAATTCATCTTGAAGTAGCATTCAGGTGACACATATTAACTTCCTAAGATTTACAGACAGTAAACTAGTAAGCCAACAGAACAGCTCACTGGCCAGACGAAAAAAGATGTAAACCCTTCAAATCGGTAATCTCTTCTGAAAATACAGGGAGGACAGGTCTTTCATTTCAGCTCCAGCTAGCACCGAAATGTTTAAATACACTGTGATGTGAAATAGGTAAGAAAGTTTAATTTCCTTATTAAGATTCAAGAAAAACAATGAAATATCAAAATTAAATTTACTATTGGTATTCATGCAGTTACTTCTGCCAGCTGCTTTCTAATTCATTGTTTTAAACTATTTTGATAGAGGAGATGGTACAGATGGAGTAGAGCACGCTTAAGGTAGTTTTCAGAATTCCTGGTTCAGTTATACTGCACCTTAGAACGACAATATTATCGTCATAACGTATGTACAGTGAACTTTTCCAAATCTTAGTAATAAATCTCATTTTGAAAAGAAAAATTAGAAATACAGTCTAAAGAATATCTAAATTGCATTCTCTTCAAAACGCTTGCTCTTGTGGGCAATGAACTTTCACCCTTTCTGACCTTCTGGCCTTCTCCCATTCTGGCCTTGTTGAACACTCTGAGGGCCCCTCTGTCGTCCACGGCCACCAGGTTCTTCTGATACTGATGGAGGAACATGCGGCTGCTGAGGTTGCCGACGGCCGGGTGGCTGACTTGGCAAAGTCTGTTGAACCTGCAATAGTTGGGAGCAACTTTTCCTGCTGCGACTGAAGAAACAGCATACTTCCAAGAGTGCAGCAAAACAAAGTCAGTAACCAAGTACAGAATACTCAAATACCCAAGTGTAACAGTTACATAAAGTTAAATCTCTTTTCCTCTATTAAGTAGCAGAGTTATTACTCTGTACTTCAAACTCCAAAATAACAGGGTCCAGGAATTTTTTTTTGTAAGTTAATATTCATTTAACTAGTAGTAAATGCAAATCTTCTCTTTCCAAGCTCTAAAATTTCTGGACTTCTCATTTTTAACCACCCCTCTGATACTTCAGGTAGCTGACTACTTATTTTATAAAAACAGCTTTTGTAATTTTAGTGTCTAGTGAATAAGTAATATTAAGAAGTGTCACGCCTGGAAGAACTGCGACGCACAACCTTCAGCCACAAGCAATCCCACAATTCAGTTTCATGTTACTGGACTGGAGTCTGCCCCACAAGTTAGTCCCTCCAGGAGTAATCAAGTTCTCTAAGTTTAAACAAGCAAGAGGCCAATATCAAGGAAGATCATGAAACCTGAGCTAGAGAGCCAGCCTGGCTCTGTCTTGTCCTACAACACAGCAGTAGGAACCCCCTGAACCAGCGTCACACAACCTGCCAGCAATCCATTCCTGGAGTTCCTCTACTCCTCTGCTCTCAGAGCTCTTGGCACATGTCTTGTGACTCCCATATGCATGTTCTGACACTGAACACAAGATCAGTAACTAAGCAGGCCTCTCTATTCTTGTACTCTCCACCTTATTTTTACACGTTATAAGATCTGTCAAAAGTATACCCTCTAAGAAGTCTGTAAATACCCATAAGCACTACTGCAAAGATTGAATGTGCACAACCCTAAAGAGTAGATGTGAAAATTATCAGAGTCCAGCACTATCACAGTAACAGCACATTATTACAAGTTTCATGCTCTCTGCAGTATTCATAAAAGTTGTTCAGGAAAGATCAGTTCTGCTTTGCCTCTCTCACCTATACTCATCCTTGCCCCTGAAGGAAGCTGCAATGTCACCTATGTGGACTCTCTAGTCCAACAGCTAGGCACTGGGCCCCGCTATCCTGAGCTGATGTCGTGGTTTAATTTCAGTCGGCAACTAAGTACCACGCAG